CACCCAGCCTGCTCCCCACCATTCCAAGCCCAAAGAGTGGCCCTCGGCCCTGAGCCCTGGGGCCAGCCTGAGTGGGAGGGGGTTCCCTCCAGGCCACCAGCCCCTCACCTGCACTGTGCCCTAGACCCCAAAGGTCATCTGCCAGCACCTGAGCCTGTGCCAGCACAGGCAGTCTGAGCAGGAGCCTGGGATGCCAGATCCTCCACCTGACCCTGTGCTGGACGCTCTGCCAGATAAGCTGGCCCTCCCCGTGCTGCCAGGGGCCCTCCTGGACAGGCTTGGGCCTCATACACAGGTGAGGGAGGCCAGCCATGGCCAGTTAGCTGGGGTGCAGAGGGCCAGAGGGTCAGCTGAGACCCAAGGCACTTGGGCCTGGAGGGGCAGAGCCAGGGACAGATGAGGAGCTCCAGGCAGGGCCTGCCTGAGCAGGGGGTGGGGGAGGCGAGACCTAGAGGACGGTGGCCTTGCCCAGCCGCAGCCACCTCCCTGGCTCTCTCCCCAGGAGCTCTCCCAGCAGCAGTTCCCCATCCCCCTGCCCTTCTGCTGGCTCTGCAGGACTCTGATGAAGCGGGTGCAGACCATGATCCCCAAGGTGAGGCGCCAGGGCCTCAGCAGGAGCTCCATCTCACGGCCGCCAGGTTAAGCAGGGCCACCTGTGCTCCGCCCACCCAGGAGCCCAGGCTCAGGTCCCACTGTGCCCTGGCACTCCTGCAGGACAATGACTGGCAGGTCCCGGCTGTCTGTGGAAGACACTGCAGTCTCTCAGTAGGAGAGTCCCCACAGATAGGTGCCCATCTTGCCATGTCCAGCCTGAAATCTTCCACATCAGCAGTGGCCTTTGCCCTCTGGCCTCACCAGTCATTCCCAAATGGGGTCCTGCAGGCCATTGGTCACTGAGGGACTACAGCAGTGGACAAGCTTCCTGCTGTCCCAAGCTTGGCCGAGGGGTTGGAGAACAGAGTTGGCATAGCCCATTGAGACACCATTAAGCCAAGTCAAGAGAAAGGTTTGGGGCTCGGGAGGAGCCTGACGCACAAGGCCTGGGTCTGACCCCAGCACCATGAGGAGGAAGGGGCTGGCCTTGTTCTGAGCGCACCCGCTGCTTGAGCAGCACTTGGAGCAGGACAGAGCCCTCCCTTATGCTGTGGACGAGAAGCAAGGACGTTCACCCATCAGGAGGGAAGGAGGCCCAGCCAGGGACAGTGCTAGTGGGACCCTGATGACAGGGATGCTGGCTCACCTACCTTGTGGTTAGGAGCAAGCGGGTGACATGTGAACTTGGGGAACTGCCAGGGCCCAGCTTGCCCCACCTTGTGTGGAGTCAGGGCGAGGAGGAAAGCAGCTAACTTTCCCAGGGGCTCCCCAAACAGGGGCCTGTTGGCCAGAGGTAGGGCCATCTGCTGTTGAGGGGTTCCTGTGGGGAAGGGTAGTGAGCCCTGGTCAGGAGAGAGGAGGTGTGGCTCCTAGCTGGCCGGGCATCGACCCTGGCAATGCCCTCCTCTCTGGCAAGCCATGCCTCTTCCAGTGAGTCTGAGCCAGACCCGGGTCCATTGAGACTGCTGCTCTGACCACAGAGCACTCTGACCAGTGCCCTCATGTGCACCTCGTGAGCTGCCTCTCGCGTCCTCACCTGCAGTCACCCTCCCTCCTAGAGGGAGGGCATGTGCAGGAAGGCCACGCTGGGACAGGGAGGCCCACATCGCCCTCTCTCGGCCCGCCCCAGGGAGTGCTGGCCGTGGCTGTGGCCCAGGTGTGCCACGTGGTACCCCTGGTGGTGGGCGGCATCTGCCAGTGCCTAGCCAAGCAGTACACCATTCTCCTGCTGGACGCACTGCTGGGCCGCACGCTGCCCCAGCTGGTCTGCGGCCTGGTCCTCCGGTGCTCCAGTGAAGATGGCGTTGGCCTAGGTGAGTCGCCGCCCACCCTGCCCTCTCAGGCTCTGCGGCCCAGGCCGCTCCCTCCCTCTCTGGTCCAAGGACAGGACCAGACATTCTGCAGGACAGACCTGACTGCTTCCTCTGCAGCCCTGCCTGCTCTGGGCTCCCTGCCCGACGAATGGCTGCCACCGGCCTCCCAGTGCCAGCTCTGCGTGTCCGTGACCACCCGGGCCTGGAACAGCAGCGAGCAGGCCACGCCACAGGCCATGCGCCAGGCCTGCCTCCGCTCCTGGCTGGACAGGGAGAAGGTAGGAGGAGCCAGCCAGAGCAGCGCAGCCAGGCTGGCTTCCAGGGACACGGGGCCCAGGTCCTGTCCGCCGTGGGCAGCCGAGCCCAGAAAGCCTTTGTGGCCAGAGATACAGGATGGGCGGGGCTGGAGCCCAGCCAGGCATCCAGGACGTGGTTGGAAACAGTGGTCTGTGATGGTTTCATAGGCCAGAGCTGCTGAGGGTCAGGTGTCTTCTCTGGACAAAAGGCCACACCTCCCAGGACCAGGCGTCCCTGCCTGGGTCAAGTGCCAGGCGAGTCCTGCCAGCCCGGGAGGGCCTTGCCCAGGGAAGCCCATGCAGCTCTCAGCCCTGCCCGGGAGTGCTGGCTGTAGGGGAGGCCCAGGTGTGCCATGTGGTACCCAGGATACTCCTAGTGCTGGGCAGCGTCTGCCAGGGCCTGGTAGATTCCAAGTGACCAAGGCCAAAGCTGTAGCTGGGAGAGGACCCTGAGAGACCCTGGTCCTGCCCACCCATCTCTGAAGCAGTTTAGCTGAGACTAGTCACCTGCACATGGAGAGGGCGGGGGCCTCTGCCAGTCCTCCTCGGTGCCCCTGGCTTCCCTGACAGAAGCCCTCTATTCCACACCCTCTGCCCTGCTCCCAGCAACCAGAGCTGCTGGGGGCTGATGCCTGGACCTGCACCAGGGCCCAGAGGGAACCAAAGAGGCCTAGAAAGGGCGGGATCCAGGACTCTGAGGAGGGAGGTGCTGCCTCAGGCCTGGGTCACCTCCTGCCTCTGTCTTTCCTCAGTGTGAGCAATTTGTGGAGCAGCACATGCCCCAGCTGCTGGCCCTGGCACCTCGGGGCTGGGATGCCCACACCACCTGCCAGGTACCTGCCCCTGTAGCTGGCCAGGACTTCTCAAAGCCCCCAGAGCCCTCACTCTCCTGGATCAGGAGTGACATGGGCCAAGATGAGGCGCCTATGTTCTCATGCAGAACAGGCCTTGGCCTAGAAGAAGCCAAGAAAGTGTCACAAGAGATGGGGGCTGTGTCAGGCTCGGCTGCGGCCCTCCTTGACTGGGCTACAGCTGCTGGCCTACAGCCACTGGCCAGTGTGCTTGGCGAGGGCCCCAGTGGGTGTCCTGGGCCAGCAGCCTCTTCCTTAGCTCTAGGCCTGCAGGCAGTGGCTCGGGGAGTGGCCTGGGTCTACTAAGTCACACGAGGGTGGCATGAGAAGGCAGGTACAGCACTGCCCCTATGTCCCAGAGTCAGGAGTGAGGCACTGAAGTCCCAATTCTGTCCCTGTGGCAGGCCTTGGGGGTGTGTGCCACCAAGTTCAGCCCCCTCCAGTGTCTTCAGAGCCCCCTCTCCTGAGGACCCAGCCTCCAGGTGAGTCTTGACCTACGTGGGGGAGGGAAGGGCAGGGGCTGTCACGGGGCAGTGAGAGGTGGCCACTCCTGCAGGCGGTTCCAGCCACCTCTGGGCATAGCTCTGGGCACAGTGCCAGGCCCCACCAGGAAGAGGCCCTTCTCAGGGGGAGGCCACCCCTCCCTTCAGAGCCCTCACCCCCCACCCTGAGCAGCCCTCCTCGGCTTTGCCTGGGCCTTCAGACCAGCTGCCTTTGGGACCTGATATACTCAGGCCAAGACAAGGTGTCCCAACCTCAGGGGAATCAGCTTTGCCTCCAGAGGCTGCTGCCCCTCAGAGCCAGGAACACTACAGCCATCTGAGTCTACGGGCTTGAAGTCCCTCCTCTCCCCTCACCATCCTTTCCCAAGTCAAAGGTAGTACATGGGATGGAGGGTGGCCCCAATGACCTTGAGAGCAGGAGGGTCCTCATGCATTTCACCACTTGCTCTGTAAGAAGGCAGGGAGGGCCTGTGGCTGGCGAGGACTACAGCCAAGGTCATGCGGTGAGGCAGTGAGGCCCGCCCTCCTCCAGGAGAGGAAGAAGCCCAGCCTACCCTGGAGCCCTGGTGTCACATGCACTTGGGGCTTGGACCCAGACCTACCTCACAGGGGTCAGCTTAATAAATCCCTCCCCATCAGTGATGGCCAGGGACCTTGGAGTGAGGGGCCACCAAAGAGAGGGACAGAGCATTCCCCAGTTCCCAGAGCTGCCACTGAAACAGAAAGAGGCCTGGCTGCAGCCCCAGCTCTGCCGTCAACTGTGGCGGGTCCCCTGGCAAGATACAGGTCCCCCCTAGATGTCCCCCTCCTTAGGGCAAAGGAAGAAGCGGGTGAGGGTCTCTAGCCACCGTGGCAAGGCTCCTTGTGGCCCTGCCCTTCCAGCTGCCCTGGCTGGAAGGAGCTTCACCCCACTCGCCTTCCTGCAAAGTGACACTGGTGGACCACCAGCCAGAGTGGTCCAGCCCTGGCCCCAGCCACTCTGTGCTCAGTAAGGCCAGCAAGAACAGTGCCCTCTGGACAAGGTCTGCAGAGGCTGCTTATGACCTTCACAGCACCAGAGCCAAGCCAGCTCCCACCGCTCAGGGCAGCTGGGGGGGAACATCGCAGCTCCAGGACAGCTGAGCGACTGGGCCAGTTCACACTGACCCCCACGTGCTCGAGACCAGCGTCTTGTTTGCCAACACTTCCAAGAAGTTCAAAGTTCAGAATAAAATGGGATCATAATATACTCTGATAAACACACAAAATCCTTACATTAGGCTTTTTAAAAATAAATCAGGAAACCCTTGGCTTGTGCAAGGTGGATACTCCATGCCCTGGGTGACGGGAGGTGACTGGGCAAAATTCCGTGTCGGAGATGCTCTCCCTGCGAGCTGCTGCTTTGTTAGGACAGGGATTTCTGGGTTGGGTATGGCTGGAGCTAACCTGGAACACATCCTGGGTTCAACCCCCCAGAGCAAAACGAGAGAGAGGGTTTTCATCTTTTTTTTTGTTCAAAGTTCCAAGGATGATTCTATTTTTGCTGTGACTTTAAAAAAAAAATACTTTTAGTTGCAGATGAACACAGCGCCTTTATTTTCACGTGGTGCTAGGGATGTAACCCTGTGCCTCACACATGCTAGGCACACGCTCCACCACTGAGCCCCAGCCCCAGCCTTTCTGCTGTGACTATTCTGCTCAAAGCTCAGTGGGGCAGTGCAGGCAGGCTCAGATCCCGTGTGGCCATGCCCTAACACTGCCAATAAAGCCCTATGCACTGGCATGATCTGGGCACTGTTCTGGAGGTGCTCTGGGGCTGCAGCCCCCTGGAGGGGGCCGCCAGGACCTCCCTCTCCCCCCATGGGCAAGTAGGCACCCCATCTCCATCTCTCCTGCCTTTCCAGCAGCCTCCTGCCTGGCCTCCACCTGGAGCCCAGGAACTGCAGGAGCTGAGGGACCCCACAACAGGATGCACATTCTGCCTCTGGCTTGGGGCTTTCTGAGTCTGTCCTGGCCCTCCTCCACCCCACTGTTCATGCACCAGGACAGGCTCTGTGCATCCTGCTCTCGGGCCAGGCATGAGACACAGGCCTCTGCATCTGAGCGGAGGCAGTCTTTGGTAAACTCATCACAATCCTGGGCCTCTTGGGAGGACAGTGCTGGAGTAAGCAGCAGCAGCAGCAGCTGCTGCTGAAGGACAGAGTGTTAAGTGTTTCCCAAAACAAGAGGGAGAGCTCGGGTCTGGTGAGGAAGCCGGGGCTAACTCCAGCTGAGACAAGAGACAGGTGGAGTGGCCAGCAGGAGGAAAGAACTCAGAAAATGGCTTCCCTGAGACTGAGGACTGAACAAGGGTGCTCTCTCACTGAGCTGCATCCCCTGCCCTTCTTTCGACACAGGCTCTTATAAGTTGCAGAGTGTGGGATCACAGGTGTGTGCCACTGTGCCTGGCTTTGTGTTTACTGTCCACTTACATGTTATACACACACGATGATCCACTTGTTGACCGTTTGTGACCATTTTCCCATCTTTATATAGCTACAAGTTGTTGGAAGTTAACTTTATAACCTCATCTTCAGATAACAGGATACAGTATGATGGTGACTGGATGTGGGAATAACAACAGTGACCCCCCCCCCAAAGACTGCATCTCATTTTGGGTACAGGTGAAAACTGTTTGCTCATGAAAAGGGCAGATGTATTATGCAGAAATTCAGAACCTCCACCTTTGTTGTGCGAGAACTGATACAAGCAGGAGTGCGAGCGCATATGGAAGCTGAGCTGTCCAGCGGAGACCTGCCAGTCAGCATCTTACCACCCCTCACTTCCAAATGGCTCTCTGGGCCTCTGTTGTGAAAAGAGCCCTTTAGGTTTTCCTTGGAGAGCTGACATACAGGCTTCGTCAGAAGAGGGCTTTGCAGACCCGCAGGAAGGGCAGACTCCGGTGGTGCTAGTAGATTCTCCCTCCGCAGCTGCTGCGGGGCATAGTGGCCCCACCTGACCCTCCCCTCCCTGGAAAGTCCTGTTAGGGTGCCTTGGAGGGACACCACTGCGAATGGCTTTCCCCAAGTGCTACAAAGCAGAATTTTAGTATTCTGAGGTGCACATGTTCTACACATGTTTGGAACCACACTTGGCCCCAATTCTCAGCAAGGCCACGAGCGCCCTCAAGCTAGATACAGCGGCTCCTCCCATGTCTGCCGCTCTTCCCACTAGGCGAACCCTGGTCACTCCCACCTGCTACCCTTATGAATCATTGAAATGAAACCCTCCTTGACCAGACTATGCTGTGGCTCCACTTGCCTGACTGGGCCCAGCCCAGCTGGACCTACACAAAGCCCCTGCTACCCACATGGTGGCAGAAGATGACAGGTGAAACTGCCAGGACATGGCAACAGCAGACGAGGGGCTGGAGGGCTGTCCAGGGTGACTCCTGGGCCATCTCCAGCTGATGTAATGAGGAGTGGTGGGATCTTTCACCCAGGACACACTGGAAAGGGGCTGTTTGAGAGAAAACCGCACAAGCTCAGTTTTGAAAATGTTCAGTGAGAGTTGACTTTAACACACCCAAAACTGTATCAAGTAGGCAGCTGGCTCTAAAGATGAGAATTTAACCAGGTGTGGTGGTGCCCTCTTGTAATCCCAGCCACTAGGGAGGCTAAGGCAGGAGGATTGAGTCTGAGACCAGTCTGGCAACGTTTTTCCTAAAACAAAACATAACAAACCTTAGAGAAGTTCTGGGTAAGGTTTGTTTATGAATCATGCTATTAATATGACAAGCGAGGCCACAGGCAGAGTTGAAATGGCCCAGAAAGTAAACCTCGCTGCTAGCGAGGTAGGGGAAGGAGGACAGTGCCAGGCACAGCAAGCATGCTTGTGGCTCCGCGAGAGCAGCTGGCTGCCCACCACTGTGTGCAAGGCTCCCTGTTCCTGTGGACCTGCAGCAGCACCCAGGTCCAGCAGCCAGGCCCACCTGCAAGGCCATGTCTACCTGAGCTCCCGACTGGCAATCCTGCTCTGGGCGCTGCGCTGGGTCCAGCACAGTAACAACTTGTCACTTCCAGATTTAGAGAGAAACGCATCCCAGGTGACAGGAGGGTGTCTGCCAGATGACAGGCCGCAGCATAGGCAGTTAGTGAAGACAGGAAAGGAGGCAAGTCAGCCTCCATCTGCCAGCAGTGGGTGACGCACATAGGACAGAAGGCTGACTTAAAAACAGAGAATTTAATCCATCCAAAAACCCATAGGACCTAAGGGAACCACAGAGAACCACCTCCCTGGAGGAGAAGGCGTGACTGGCTTCATGATATGACTCCCACAACCCTGAGGCTCGACGTCTACGAGGAATCATCCACCCTTCATGCACCAGCTGCTAAAGAGAAAGGACAGCCACCTGCAAAGCACTCAGACTGCTGCAGTTGAGAGGACGGCAAGAAGGAGGGAGGAGCGCTATATATAGGACTGGTGGAGGGCCCCTCAATGCGTGGCGTAGCCAGGACCCACGGCACCTGCAGCCTGCCTCTGCTCGGCTCCACTTCTGGTCCTGTTCACTGGGTTGTCCTCAGGGGGAAGCTGGCCCACCTCACGCCCCCTGCTGGTTGGTCTCCCCGGCATCCCGCCTCTTCCATATCTGTAAGGAAAGAGGATGTTTCTCCATCCGCAGTGGGCAATTGGCACCCAACCACGCGTCGGCCACCATCACCAGCCAGGACACTCCTTTAGTCCCTATTCCTCGACCCCACCTAGCCTCTCCTCTTCTTACCTTCCATTCAAAGCTCCTTTCTAAAAAAGGACCCACAGGGGCTGGGAGTGCAGCTCAGGTGTAGAGCACGACTCACATGCCAAGGCCCTAGGAGCGATCCCAGGCACCAAAAGACCCCACAGCCCAAAAGAGGCATGGCCAAGTCTCAACCCAGGAGGAAGCCACAGAGGAGACAGTCACCTCTCCGACACTCACTCCTTCTCTTCTACAAAGGCACGGCTTTTCATATCTCAGTCTTCCTCTGTTATCTTCTAACTAGAGTAGTTACAAAGGAAGACCCCGCCTCGCAGGCACTCACTCCACTGGAGCAGTCAAAATAACACGGTCAGTACTCCAAAACAGAGATGGACAAAGCACAGTGCTGACTGGCTGTGCCAGGGCCCTGGGCAGAGCTCAGGGTCCTGGCCACAAACGCAACCCGGTTTGCTCACTCACAGATTCTCACACTCCCCTACTCTTCTCTTCTGAAAACCTGACTGACCTTCTGGACCAGGTAATCAGTTGAGCGTCTCTCAGAACCTCCTGGGGCTCCCTCTCGGTCCACTTCCACCCTGCCCACACCCACCTGAATGTAGGCCTCCGACAGTGTGATCATCTGGGGCAGGATGTCCGTCACCTGCAGGTCCTGCAGTTCGTACCACTTGCCAGTGCCCTGCAGACGGCAGAAAGTTTGGATCAGTGCAGAAGGAAGGGACCATACCCCAGAGCCATGAGACCTTGCCACAGAGGCAAAGGGAGGAGGGCAGGACTCAGCCACCTCGACTCCTGCAGCAGAGGCTCACACACCCCTGCCCACCTCCTAAGAAGAAACTGGGCAGATGCCAAGAGCAGGAAGAGGCTGCCTCTCATGCTCACCCTCGCTGTCTCCTCCTGTGCTGGTGACAGAGCAGACACACTCAGGCAGGAGGGGCCAGAGTTGGCTAGGAGGAGAACCTCCCCCAAGAAGAGGAGCAAAGAAGGTCAAGGGAAGTGTTTCTGGGGGTCACTGTTTGCCACGCTGGCCTGCAGCTCCAGCAATGCCAGTGAGACTACCTCACTATAGGCTTCCCTGTGCTCCAGAGCCAGGCAGCTCCTGCAGCAGTCCTCCTGCCGCACCTTCACATTGTCTGAGAGCAGCATGACAGAACAGACACGGCAGACCTCCTGGATACTCCAAGAGTGCAGACAGAGGACAGCAAGCAAGCCAGCCCTGAGCCCCTGGCCATGGCCTATGCTCTGAGGCCAAAGACCAAATCCCAGCTCTACTGACTTCAGATAATTACTCAATGCTGAGCCTCAATTTATCTGTAGAGAAGAGACTATATCTGCCTTGGGTTTGTGTGTAAGGACAGAAATGAGACATACAGGAAGCACTGGGTATGCGTCCTAGCACTCAGAATAGCACTGATAAATACACACAGTGATTATTAAACCCACATTCCAAGAGACTAATCGGATTAGAACAATTTATGCTAAAAATCTGATACCAAATATATCTCAGTTCATGTTTTCTGTTTTCAGTTTGAGACAAATTCACAAACTTGTGAGCTAAAAAAAAGTCTCTAAACCAGTGCTTCTT